GAAGCCGCCGATAAAAGGAGACTCGATTCCCACGCACGATGTCTTAAGCTATGTCGCAAAAAAATTACCTGTCGCGGAAGCCATCTCACCTAAGCCTCTTGCTGTAAGTGATGGGATTTCTCTTTTGCCTGGAGATGATATACCTGGGTCATCCAGTCTATTGTTGCCCTCTTGTTCTGGCAACCACCCCGAGCGCACTACAGAGCACGTATCTGTATGCGAAGACATAAAGCCGTGGGTAGAGGGGAGAGGGAAACGCCATGACAGGATTCTGAAGTCACAGCCAGCCCTGAGGGGTTGCTCGGGACAGTCGGTAGACAGTAAAATTGTGCGTCCAAGCGATGACTCCGTAAATCGTCCTCGCCCACATGCAGCGCATTCAACGGAAAGACAGAGTAAGGAGGACCATGCTCGCCAGCAGTGTCTGGCTATTCAGGGTTTGTCAGAATCGAATGCAGTCAGACCTGAAGACCGTGTCTCAGAGGACCTTGCTTCTTTTCATGGTCTGCTAAATCATTTACTGCCGGCAGACATGAAAATAAAGGTTCTGAAAGCATTCCGGATAGGAAAAAGGAGTGAAGACAGGACAGTAGCACAACCACCTCGCCCTCTCAAAATTATGCTGGAGAACAAAGAGCAAATCAAGTTTATCCTCTCTAAAAAAAACCGATCTCAGAAAGACACACAAGCAGGTTTATTTCAACCGGACTATTCACCAGCGGAATGGTTGAAACGCCGGGAACTTGTATTGGAGTTAAAATCAAGACTGAAGGATGGCGAACACAATCTGGCTATCTTCAAGGGGAAGGTAGTTCGGCAAAATATGCCGTTTCAGTGGAACCAGCCTGTAATACTACGAACGACGACAGTTACTCAGCTAAAACAGACACCTTCGTTGAACCACCTGATCAAGGCGCCAACACAAGTGAGCCCGTAGCGTCCAGTGATCTGACTGAAACAAGGCATGTAAATGGAACCAATCAGGTAACGGAAGAGCCTAGAGAACACGACGTCCGCGATAACGGAGTAATGCTCACAGCAGTAACAAATGCAACGGGAAATTCGGCTGGTGCTGAACTGAGGTGCTTGTACACGAATGCCCAAAGCCTCATATCGAAACTAGACGAACTAAAACTTTGCCTTGTTGGGCTGTCTCCAGATGTTTTAGCAGTAACCGAGACTTGGCTGTCCGGGAATATTAGCGATAACGAAGTAGCCTTGCCTGGATACCAAATTTATCGGAGGGACAGGGAACATCGTCAGGGTGGTGGCATCGTGGTGTATGTGAATGACGGTCTGACAGTGTCGGATAAGACCACCAAGTTTGCGTGCAGTACGGAAGCGATCTGGTTGACCATCAAGACTACCGGTTCCCCGTGTCTCGATTTCCTCACTGTCTACCGACCACCTAGGACAGACCGAATCGCCGACACTCAACTATTGGAGCAGTTGGAGAAATTGTCCAGTCGACCTAACATCATGATTATGGGCGACTTCAACGCGTCAGGAACAAACGGGAATACCCTCCAAACGTCAGGTCCAAAATCGGCATTCGATTACCGCCTCACACATGTAATGTTCCCAACGAGAACACGTGAAGGATAAAGGGCAAACTGCCTGGATCTGGTCTTTACGAAAACACCAGACAGCATAGACAAGATCGCCTCCATGCCGCCCCTTGGCCGAAGTGATCACCTAGTGCTTATGTCGGATTATTCGTTATTCTCCATTTCACACACTCCAGACCACAAAAGGCGTAATGTTTGTTGGGGCGACTTCAATCAGATGAGGGCAGACTTATCCGGTCTCGACTGGGGCACTCTGTTTACGGGAAATGCTAACGATGATTGGGAGCTGTTCAAGAATGTCCTTCTGCAGCTCATCAACAACCACTGCCCGGTGACTAGTGTAAGACTGAACAAACGCCCTGGGTGGCTAAATAGTAACCTCAAGAAAGAAATTAATAGGAAGCACAAATTGTGGAGAAAATACTGCGTTACTAGACAAGTTGAATGCTTCAACACCTACAAGACACAGAGGAACAAACTGAGGAAGCTGATAATGAAGACGCGGCGGGAATTCGAGAAGAACTTACTATAAAAAGCAACGCAGAACCCAAAATTACTCTACAGTTACCTCCGACGAACTACAAGTAACAGGCATCAAATTCCCTTAATAAGGACTACTGATGGCGTTGAGATTGCTGATAGTAGAGATAAAGCTGCGTATTTTTCACGGTTTTTCCAATCAGCCTACACCAACGAGGCAAGGTTCCTTCCTTCCTCCACAGAAAAATTGCCGACTCCAAGCGTCAGTGATATACTCTTCTCAGAAGGCACTGTCCGAAGGGAATTAGAGGCATTGAACGAATCGAAGTCGCCAGGACCGGACGAGATTCCACCCAAGCTTCTCAATGAGCTTGCCAGTGAGCTTTCTGTGCCCTTGTTGATGCTCTTTCAGACGTCATTTGACACTGGAACACTTCCTTCGATTGGAAGCTGGCGCATATTACTCCGCTACACAAAGGAGGTAACAGGGCAGCGACGACAAATTACCGGCCCATAAGCTTGACATGCATTCTCTGCAGAGTGATGGAAAGGATCATAAAGAGTGAACTGATGAAATTTCTGGAAGTTCGCGGTTTGCTATCGAGATGCCAACATGGGTTCTGGAAGGGAAGACCCTGCACGACAAACTTACTGCAATCTCTCCAGAGCTGGACCCAAGCTCTCAACAACAGGCACGAGGTCCACATAGCTTTCATCGACTTCCAGAAGGCGTTCGACACTGTGCCACACCAGAGGCTCTTACATAATCTTAAAAAATAGGGGTCGGTGGCAACTTCCTTAAATGGATCGAAAACTTCCTTTTGGGTCGACGCCACGTTGTGTGCATCGGTCGGAGAAAATCAGACCCTGCTATGGTCGAGAGTGGTGTCCCCCAGGGTTCAGTACTGGGACCCATTTTGTTCCTCATCTACGTGGACGATGCCGCAAGAGCTTTGGACTGCGAAAGAGCAATGTTTGCCGATGACATGAAGATACGAAGTGTAATTCGGGGTCCTGCCGATGAAGACAGACTACAGATGAACCTGCGTCGGTTGGAGGAGTGGTCAAACCGTTGGCTGCTGCGGATCAACGTTGCCAAATGTAGCATACTTCGCCTAGGCAACACAGCCAGGTCCGTCAGCACACGAAACCACTTTCTGGGCGGTGCAGCCCTACAAGAGGTCGAAGCCCAAAAGGACCTCGATGTGCTGACGACCAGTTCCCTAAAACCATCCGCCCACTGTTCGAGAGTGGCAAAATTCGTAATGTCAGTACTGTACGCCATCAAGCGTGCGTTTATGGACTTTGACGAAGATGCTTTCTCTAAGACATTCGGAACATTCGTTCGGCCGCGTTTAGAGTACGGCATACAAGCTTGGAGGCCATGGGCGGTTGAGGATCAAAACTGCCTCGAAAGAGTCCAGAGGAGAGCCACGAAGATGGTTAGGGGTCAAAGCTCCTTTCCTTATGCAACCCGCCTAGTAAATCTGAACCTCTTTCCTTTGAGTTGCAGGCAACTTCGCAGGGATCTCTTGCAAGACTTCCGCATTGTAAAGGGGTTGGATTGCAGCCTGGCCTTCGAAGACTTTTTTGAATTTGCTACCCCGACCAACCTCCGAGGTCACCCGTAAAAACTGCGCACTCAGCATGCAAGGTTGGATGTACGGAAGTTCTCCTTCTCTGTTCGAGTGGTCAAACCATGAAATGCCCTTCCCGCAGATGTTGTGATGTCACCATCCATACAAAGTTTTAAGAAGAATCTTGACATATTTATGTTCCGAAATGACGAAGAGCGATGAGAAGCAGAGTTCACTCCCTGTAACTCGTTCTCTTTTTGTCCTACAATTATGGGCGTGTTTGAACTATTTCAGCCCAGAACATTTATCTGTAAACCACACATTTTTTACGTTGCAAATAGGGTACTCAAAGGCTTACGCCTATTTCCCTCAATAAACTGAACTGAACTGAACTGCACCTTGGAGGACATCACTTAAAATAGGGTTTTCATTGGAAAATGAAAATCCCACTAAAGTCTTTTTTACAGCTTAGCCGCAACCCGTGCAACGTACAAAATCTAGCGGACATTTACATACTAGGAAAACTGCATCTTAAATTTTCTCGAATCAAAATTAACCTTACACCTTGTGTATATGAGTCCGGCCCGGCCACTCCGACTCAGCAATGTTGCAATTTACTCAGAGGAGTTCTGTAGAGAGTTATCACATTATTCAGTTTTGCGGGAACATTACCACATTCGAGCCGCTCAAAGAGTAAAAATGTCTTTCCTCTGAGTTACAGATACTTGCATAAAGACTTAATAAAGCCTTTTAAATTGTGTGTTTACTTGAAATACAGCTTTGTGTGTCATGAATTCTCCTTGTTTGTCGCTCCAACAGCCTCCACAGGACCTACTTTAAATGGCGCGTACTCATGTGAAAGTCTAAGACATTTTAAAGGACAAGACAAATAATCTTTTCTCGAATAGAGACGTGTAACGGGAAAATAATTTGTTTGAGGTGGGCATGTGGTCTTAGTTTGTAGAAGGCTTTGAATGTAGTATTTTCCGACACATATATCAACCCCAATCAGGAGTAATTTGGGCATATTTCTGTTTGCAAGCGACTGTCTGATTCCTTTGGACGCCGCACCCCTCCAACACTGCCCTCAATATTCATAATTTTCATGTGACATATCGGGAGTTGAAATACGTGCCTATATCACCCAAATACAAAGTACAGAAATGAATCATGCACTACCATGCCTTGCCTAAATTCCATACCCCAGCAAACTTCTAGGAAAGTATGCCATAATCTTTGGCGTCCGCGTTTGCCAAGCGGGGTCTTAAATTTGCGGCTTCTCTGTTGACTTCCTTGAGTTGAAAAGCCTGACCATTTTTGCACCCCAACGACCAACTTGTTTAAGTGAGCGACCTCCCTGGGAGGACTAAAGAAAATGGATGTCGGTCCGTACTCACCTCCCTTTTCTATTTGTGCGAACAGTGCATGCAGTCTTAGTTAATGTTACTCCGTCTGTTCGATGATTTATTCACTGTTCCTTGGATTTTTATCCCGTGTTCAGCCGACCTCTCGTAGTTAGTGGGATATCTGTCCGCAATTTTGGTGGCCAGCTTCTACGCTTCGGACGGTTCCCGGTTGCACATTTCTGCGGAGTACTATTAACGGTTTACTTTCTTACTCTGACCGATTTGAAAATCGGGAGTCATTCTCTTGTGATCATGTGTAGGAGTCACCTGTTCAGTTTGGTTACGGTCGTAGTCACGTGCTGCAAATGTTGTGGTAGGAATGGAGGCATTCGGGAACGACTTTGGGGATATGGCAGCGTGCTCTGTCCCGGGCCTCGATCTCTATAACTCCCTCCATTGTTCGAACAGGATGGAGGTTACACCCGTAAGAGCCAGTTTGTTAGGCAACTGGAAAAATTCATTATGCAGTTCGCTAGCCACACACAACAGATTAACGCCGTTTCTCGCGACACTTAGTTGGTTTCATAAAACACTTTCGGCCCCGGTAGCGCTTAGATAGACAATTCGCTCATGCACTTCTACATCTTCGGTATTATAAGCCATCATCCTTGTAAATATGTGACTCAAAGCCCTCTTTGCTCAAGCGTACATCGCTTTCGCTATTTTCATCCGGCATAGGCAGTTTACTGTTCGTCTGCCCACAGAAATTGCTTCCATTCTTTGGTGAATTAAATTACCTGCGACTCATGTACTTGAGGCCGAATCGAGTCTTAACATCGATTCAGTTGGGTGAAGCCGATTGTTGCTCGCATCTTTAGCAGCTGTCAAATAGCTGATGCACCTGCCAACCGTCAGTCTCTGCCCATATCATTGACTTAATTGGTGATTTACTGTGACGTTGGCAAGTAATATCTTTCGCTGTTTACGCAAGAATAAAATTGATTGCAAATGGGTAGTTATCAAGCCAGTCTACCCCTTCATTCTTATTTTTCACGTTTATATCCTTCCTTAACTGTCAAAATCTACTAGATATGAGTTAGGGCCTAGTCATTTTCGCACTTTCCACGACCAGACATTTTAACTGCACTTTCTAAAAAGTCGGACCTATGACGTTTTTTCGTCAAACACACCGGTATTGCGGTCTTCGTTTTATAAGTTCCACGTCCAGGTGATACGGAGCTCCTGGTGGTAGGCAATCATCAACCTTTTTACAAAACTAGTTTCGATCTTTTATGTCTACTACTATTTGTCAAAAAGGCGCCTCTTTAAATACCTGCTTAAAATAGCATTGTCAGTGAAGTACATGCAACGTTCTAAGCTGCCAGCTAGTATGGTTTTACTGAATAATCTTTCGTGCCTAACTACGCCATCTTTAGACCAAGCTTCTGATCGGCGGGCCAGAAAGCGGAAGTCACGATCTCGCATGCTTGAAATCAGAAAGAGGGCAAGAGTTAAGAGACACCGCGTAAGCTTCACTTTTCTAAACGTTTTTTTTCCTCAGACTGATGATGATGGGGAGTCTTCTGGAAGCGCTTCGAAGCGGAAAGTCACAAGGCCATCAAAGGTAATTTTGTTTCCACAACCCCTAAAGGCCTTAATTCTCCACTAACGCGCCTCGTACTTCCCGAACCCAGGTCACCATAAAAGCAGAGTTAGCGTGGTTGCTTAGCTGAATAATCGGTCCATCAACAAGTTCCATTCGTTACAATTATTCATGTTCTCCCAGTAGTCCAAACGTCGTTTGTTAACAGCTCGTATTTTTGCACTTGTTTATTCAGAGCACCCCTTCTACTCTGAATAAGTCAGATGCTAGCAAGCAGGCCAGGGAATCTAGGTCATTTTGCATCTTGCCTGGATCTTGTCGACATATTCTTATGACTCAGATTCTCCTCTGGTAGTGTGTTGGGAAGTAAGACGCGTACAGTGAAAACAGTGGCGTTTCGACTTTCTCAGTACCTCAACAAGTTCAGTATTTTTTCTTATCATTTGCTGACTTATCTGCTCTTTTTGCCTGATCCTGTTCCAAGTTTACCATTATCTAATCCCGTTTCTGCGTCAGTACTTATTATCTTCCTGTCGTCACGTGCTACAGGAAAAGACTCTGGAGCAACTATGTGAGGAGCTTGGAGTGGAAGATGTAGAACTGACCTATTCGACCGACGACTTTGAAAACTGGACCGTGCAAAAGCTTTTTGATCAATATGTACGGCCCCTAATCGTCGAAAAAAACCCAACAGCCTCGAAGGACGCCATCCAACAGATTTTGGACGCGAAGTGGAAGGAATTTGCCATAATGAATCCCTACATACCCAAGGGTGAGGAGGGTAAGTTTACGGTGCTCTTACCTATCCCGTCAGAGCTGGTTGAAGAAGACGAGGACGACAATACGGCCTTCGAGATCGTCGATGAAGAGACTCAGGATGCATCCGTCACCCTGGACACGAGCCGCCGCGGGGCATCGCGTACCTTAACCAAGCGCAGATCCTACGCTAATGGCAGCAACGTAGACTCATCACAGTCGGTAGTACTGGGCGACAACGACAGCGAGGCTGGTAGCCAGTCACCACAATCCTCAAATATTGGCACTCCACAGACGGCCCCCTTGAAGATCAAGATTAGTAAAAAGAAAAAACGGAGGCGTGGGCGGAGAAGGGGCGATGTGAGTTTTCCTCTCCTCTCCAAATCCCTAAGTACACTGCCAGCTCAACAGTGCTTTTGAGTTCTCCGTTGATGCATGCATTCAAAGCCTGACAGGAATGGAAACATTATTCTCGCTTCATGCCAACGCGGACCGTTTTAATAGTTGACTGTCACGTAGCCGTTGCCATAGTATCCTCTCCTGAGCAGTGGGGTAAGCATAGAATCTCGACTATATCTGTAGCATGGCGCAGTAAAACTACTGAATAGCCCTACCTTAACCCCAGCCAATGCTCTGGTCACACCCTCATTTCTCCATAATTGTCGGATCTGAGTGGCAGCCGAGGAACAGGAAACTCATCAGGAAGCACAAGAGGAAAACTTATGATCGTAGTCTTTCCATGCCTCAGACGGCCTTGAGCGACGTTGTCGGACGGTCTCCGTGGTGAACCTTCCCCCCTAAAAGGGAGCATATTAGAACCTCGTCCAGATGTTAGGGACAATTTACTTCAATCTGGTTACCTGCGCCAGGATTTCGCAGCTGCTGGCAACGCCCGTTAGGTCTGATCTCTCTTACCGTCTTTTGCAGTTGCAAAGCCAAGTATTCTGTCACGGACACTGCTCCAGTGCAGCTTTGACGACCCGGTTTTTAAAGCAACAATAAAGGTAGCATACAGCCGTTTGGCAACTTAAAAATGCGAGATAATCCGGTAGCGTCAGTGCGCATGGTCTCCGCATCTACTGAACTATGTATGTAATTTAGCGGTATCTACTTTGTAGACTAGGAAATTCAGATTCACACCGTCAGAACGCGTTTGCAGTACGGCAGGACTGAACCGCCCGCCATTCAGCCTTTGGGCGCATTGCCTTTAACGTATCAAGGAGCCTTCTGCCTGCTGCGTAAATTAACCGATATTGACTTTTATTTGAGCTTGTAGTAGGATATTGGTGAATTGGAGAAACATACGAACCGTAATCATACATTTCTGACATGCTTGTAATCGTCTGCATTTAAAACAATTTGTCAGGCCCGAAATGTAGGCTATAGGTAATTAAAGGACTCACAGAACTGAAAGACTCTTGAAATGTGACCAAGCAGTCTGCCGTCGATCGCTCACTTCGATGCCGGCACACCTATCGAGCACTGCGACGATAGCCGAGAGACAGCACTCGGACACGAAGTGGTCGACAGTTTTACTCCATTTCGCCCAAATCATTCTTCGGTTACTTAGGTATCTAGGCTGCATGTAATCTGTGAGCAACCGCTACTAACTACCACAGGTCCCATGTATGTGTAAGCTGCAGTTGCCTCAACGTTGTCCACTTAACAAATGCTGGTACTAGCAAGTAAGCTGTTGGCCCAGAAAAAAGTTCATGCATCTTACACTTATAGTCTTTAAGACTCGATGGGGTGTTGCGTTAAGGGCAAACTGTAGGGCATAATCGTACGTGGATCCAAAATTTTACCGTTTTATAGTCTCAGGCCACGTATTTTTTTCAGGAACATTAGGTAATCGAGCCGGGCTGGCTGCACTAGTAGTGTTTCCTTATATTGACATGTGTTCTACCGACAACCTTACACATTTACTTGACCGAATTGGTGGTCACAGTAAGTCCATTTTGCAAAACCACCTTCAGGCTACTTACTACAGCAAAATATGTATGCCTTAAGCAATATCGGCAGACGGAGTACTGTACGATAAGCAGTAATAACTCGTTTATGGCGTTAGCAAGGATGATGAGAATCGTGTTCTCTTCAGAGCTATCATTCAACGACCTAGACATCGGCCACAATCTCTTGAAAACGACGACAAGTCTTAGGTAATGAAACACCTGCACCACTGACTGGATGTCTTTGCGCGCAAACCTCCAAACACCCATTATTTCTCGTCGGCATCTTCGGATCCACTCTTGGTGCACTACCAATGCTTATCCGTTAGGTAGGGGGACAGTTTGGGCAACATGTATCCCAAGTCAGGTTCGTAGTTGTTTTATTGATAATTTGCCGTTAAGGATTGCGGTATAGGGCAGATAATTGTGCGATATCAGAAACAGAGAACTTTTTGCCAGTCCTTCCCTAGTGATTTACTTAAGCAAATCTCGCTTTCTTTTTACGGTAATACACTTTTACCAGTATCTAGTATGTTTACTGGCAGACTGACCCACAATAAACTTATTCGCCCCCTGACTGATTGCGCTTCTGTAGTTTGATCATGTAGGCAACCGTTGTCTCCTTACTTTGTCGAATATTTTGACCTCCCCTGTCAAAGGAGCGTCACGGCGGAGGCAACACCAGTGACGAAGAGTTTGAACGACAGCTGGTTGAGGCGGAGGCAGTGCAAGACGAGGAGCGGGAACGCCGTCGCCAGCGTCTTGATAGACGGCGTGTTCAGAAGATTCACGTCAGTGCGTCGGCTCCAAACCTGCAAATCAAAGCGTCCTCATCATCTTCGGCGGCTGGTGGTAGCAAACAGGCTGCGCGTGGCGGTGTCACCCGTTTCCCACTGATGGGGGGCAACAAGACTGCAGAAGATGGATACGAAACAGATCATCAAGACTACTGTGATGTTTGCCAACAGGTAAGGTTACAGCCTTCCCTCTCTCTTGAGTTCAAGTCTGCCACCCATTCGTTTTCGTCGTTATTAACGGCGACCACGTGGCTAACGCCAGTACTCTAATCTTCGTCCCTCCTTTCTTCCGAGTTTTCCTCGGCTGCTCCTATCGACGAGCCTCTACTGGGCTGATAACTAGGGCGGATACCATTTTGCTTCCCATTATCTAAGTGTCGAGGTATGCAATGTATAATAGTAAGTCGAAGGGTCCTATCTCTTACCATACAGGTGTGAGCGAAATCGGCTAACTGAAGACGCAAAAGTCTCTGCCCTTATCCTAGCTTTGTGTGTAGATGGAGTCGTTGTTTGTGCCGTTCCAAAAGGCAATGAGGTGCTGATATTTATTTCCGTTTCGAAGTATGTGAATAAAGCTGGCCTTCATGTCTGTCTCTCTCTACCTTCCTCATAGGGTGGTGAAATAATGTTGTGTGACACTTGTCCACGAGCTTACCACTTGGTGTGCCTGGACCCGGAGTTAGAGGAGGCTCCCGAGGGCAGTTGGTCGTGCCCGCACTGTGAGAAGCAGGGCATTAGGGCATCCAACTTCTCACAGGATGCCGCAGCCTCCTCAGCCAGCGACGGCGGTGGTTCCGAAACGGCTGGCGCTATCACGAGTCGCGGAAAGCGTGTGGTTGGTGGCGCCTCTGCCACAACAATTTCACCGGAGCGTGACGAACACCAGGAATTCTGCACCGAGTGTCGTGACGGTGGCGATCTGATCTGCTGTGAGAATTGCCCCGCCAGCTATCATATTGGTTGCCTCAACCCTCCGCTCTCGCAGATTCCCGAAGGTGTTTGGCTGTGTCCGCGATGCGGCTGCCGCCCGCTCAAGGGTCGAGTCTCGAGAATCCTCACCTGGCGTTGGAGTGAACCACCAAAGCCTGCTGTGGAGGCCGAGGGAGAAGATACAGGCAACAGCTCTCACACTGATACCCCTGCTGAAGGCGTTGAAGCACCTACCCCCATTGAGGTGCCTGAAACACCCAGCCAGGCACCTGCTGCTCCCACCACTACCGAATCGGGGGAGACCGCCAAACCCCCGGAGCCAACGACAACGGGACTTGAGACGACCCCTACACCCGCTGTAGATTGCCCGACTGATACCCCGGCACCCATCCCCGTCGCCACAGTACTCAAAGGCTCGAGTACTTCGGCAGGGGAGGCGGAGAAAGCCAAAGTAATTGTATCAGCGCCACCAGCACATCAGCCACGGCCACCAACGCCGCATAGGCGGAAACCCACTAGGGAGTTCTTTGTCAAATTCCAGGACATGTCATACTGGAAGTGTGAGTGGGTCTCGGAGCTGCAGCTTGACGTCTTCCATCCAATCATGTTGCGCGTCTTCTTCAAGAAGTACGACATGGAGGAACCTCCGCCTCCAGAGGATGGAAGTACTTACCGGTGAGTGGGTTGTTTTAGCCTTACAATGCGCCTTGCCGTAACATCCAGATCGGCCCATCTGCATAATTACGCCATTCCACACATTTGGTAAATAGACCCACCTTCCGTTATTCTGAAGGTAAACGCATATACTTCAATTAATGGAACTCTTATTTTTTCTGCCATATGATACCTTGTCTATCGTAATCGGCAATGGTCATTGGTAGGTGTATGGGAAAGTTTGACGGTTGGACTGTTATTATTTCTCCTTGGCCGGGAGCAATCACCGCTAGCGATTGGGACGTTGAACAAGTGTAACGGGTCCGGTAGTGGAGTTTTGGTAGACGGTGAGGCGATGGTTGGGAGCGGCGTGCGCGAACGGTGCATCCATTGTGTCCAGTGTTGGAGCAACAAACTCTTCATGGGTAAGTGTACCGATGCGGTCCACTCGTTGATGGATCACACTCGTTGACTTGAGGACGCATAGTTTTCGATTTGGCATGTTGTCACTAATATCTCTGGGCATAGTGTCCGCATTGTCGCTGTATCTGCAGTAATCATGGTGTCTCAAGGCCAATGCGAGCCCTAAATATGCGTTGGCAAGGGGAAGGGGCTGGGTGTTGGCCATCTCACTTCGCCTTGGTCCCGGTCGGCTTCGACGATGGTCGTCCCATTTATCACAGCAGCTTTCCGTGCATGTCCATCTTGTGCAGAGTTTTCTGGGAGTTCTGGTCGATTCCGTTCTATTGGAATAAAGCCTTTGGCTCCTTGCTCCGGACGCCGGTCAAGTGGCAAGACTGCGTCAACACGGCTGGCGATGAAGTACTGGCTCGCAGATAGTCGTGAAAACTGGACTTGTAATCCTTTTCGAGTCGGTTTAGGATAATCACCAGACAAGTAATTAGATTTGTTTGCCGTTTCTCAATTTGGCACAGATGGCCAGTTGGTTAAGTCTGTTGACCCAGGGCCTGTTATTTCGAGTCCAGAACTGCCTATTGGCGGGGTGGGGGAAGGGTTGATACCACATACTCCTAATCAAGAAACAGATGAAGTTGAAGACTCACGTCCTCAGGCGGCTTACGCCCTAACATGTGTGCGTTGAATGTCGGAGCGGGTAGAGTTCAAAATGGCCTGTGTGGAGAGGACCCAGGTAGAAATGTGATTTCGAACGCTAAAGTATGCAAATCTGACGGTTATCCCTCACCCGGATACGGATAAAGGATGCGCAGTTACCTCAGAATAGTTTTCACCCCAGCTGTCGTTTTTGTGCAATGCAAGCGGCAGCTGTAAGCACTGTTTAAGCGGTTAGTTCTTAAACGCTCTGCATGTGCGTTTACTGCGTCTTCTCAACCAAATCTGTCATGATTTACAATTGTTGGCCTCATAATATGGGGGTGGGTGGAGAGGGGAGGGGAAGGAAGTTTGTAGTGCAACGGTGCAGCGGGGTCTGGCGCAGTTGCGGACAGAGCAACTACGTCAGAGAAATTGGGAGATTTCTCCGGACGCGGATGGCCTAGCACACAGGATCGGTGAGGAGGGAAGACGTTAGCTCTCAGGTGGCGGCTCATTCCACAAGACCTGACCATATTTTAAAGTCTACAGAAGCCAAAATCCCCTTAAGAGGTGACAACCGCGTAAGCCGTCGGCTGCTCGAGTCATGGTTCTTAGGCTCGCAATCCATCAACAAGTGCAATAATCTCCCCCTTTACCATATTCGGTACAGAGACTTTCCCTGGGCAGGGGAATCAGTCACGTGGGGAGGGCGTGTGAGAGTAACAACCCCCAGTGCCAGCGCCAACATTCAACACGTATGATGAAATTGTGTCCATTAACGACTCGGACGCGGGCTGACAAACCATCATCGCATCACTCATGAGCGGTGATCGTGAGAGCTGTTAATTACAGTGCGCATGTGGTCCCAAGGCAGCTACGTCCCATAAATACTGCACTATTTGTGCCTTCAATACCCTTTTTTGCGACTGTCTCGGATGATGGGTTCAAGTGGGGATCCGAAACGTCAGGCAAATAAACTTGTTCCAGTGATAGCATCTTATGGACTGCTTCCCGGAACTCGCCTTGTGGCTTCTAACGGTTCAGCCTGTTACCCTCTTTGCTGACCTGGAGCGTTGGTGGACATGAACCATATCAACACGTATCACAGTCCCGAACGGCCGTCCCCAAACTCCGAAGGTCTGCTTCAGTTCTCGACGTCTTGGCGAGTAGCAGATTAATTAACCTCATAACTGAGTAATAGGTTACCACACCTGGTGGCGATGTTTCATATTTTACTACTGTCGAGTATTATTTTCTGACCGAATGGACTCGGTCCATAAAAACATCACTGCCCCAATGGTTCGCGGAGGGGACTGTATGTTGTCTAAGCCCTCCTGGTTGCTGACTGTCGCGCGACTCTTTCCTGAGGCCACAGCATCAGACTAAAAGGCCTACACCGCCGAGTGAAATGGTGCCCGAACGTCCGCGCGGATGTTGCGCTTGCGCCAGGCGATCTATCGATTTACGCGCACCAGCTCCCGTCAGCTTGCAGGTGAGTCATCGCGACCCCCCTTTGTCTGTTGCGGCCTCGGACAGCGGTCTCTGTGTAGGCGTGGACCAAGAGCGCCACTGTCGCCGTCCCTGCCTAGTCGAAGAAGCGGATGAGCACTTTAAAGGCAACCTCGCTTGCTAACCACGAGAAAATCGTGTCTCATTGGAGGGTACAGCTCTCAGATAGTACGCTCATTAGAGCGAACGAGGCACATGACGTAGCAGTCACAGGGCCGGGTTACTCTGACGGCGTGTGGAGTATTATCTGACCCGTTTTTAACCTGGCGGGAGCGTCAGCTACCGTTTAACCCACATATTGCACTTTTTTTGAAAAGGGCAAACCAAATTTTTGGGAAATATGCTTTCAGGCCCCTTTTTGTGGACCTCTGGTACATCATGAGCATCGGATATTCATCCCAAAGGATGCATAAAATACTGATAGCGGCCCGATATTCTATATGCACTCATTTATCTTCAGTGGTTGACTTTGTTTTTCATAGCACTGATATTATAGGGTTTCGAGAACTAATCTGTGACTTAGTTTTTCCCAACCGGGAGGAACGCTTCGGCCTGTTATTTTCAGACTACGAGTGTCTGGACAACTTTTCTCAGGAACCTACAGAAGTTGTATGCCTGGCAGTCCACCCGTTAATTAGTCTATGTAATCTTTAATATCTTAATTTTGATGCGATATGTACGTATATGTGCGTGTATGTGCGTATATGTGCGTGCTTTCAACGATGGGGTTACGTGACCTGAATCCAAGGAGACGTCGATCTTTACTCAAAAATGTTCTGGTTTTTTTGACAAAGTGTATGAACCAAGTTGTCTATAAAAAGGCCTTTGCCGCCGTAGATGCGTCTCAGGACTACTAATTCAGGTTTCAGTCAAAGCATCTTATTGGTTGCCTCACCTACATTAGCTTTAAAGGCAATCCCTGTGGCGTTATAATAAAAAACTTGCAACAGGGGTGTGCCATTCTCTAATTCAACTGTAGTCAATTCATTAACCGCTATCACTTTCAACCTCATAAAAAGATCTGAGGTTTTTGATTATTTATAAATGAGATTCCTCCAGTTTTAGCTAAAATTCGAGTTTGTCCTAGACGACTGTCGTCAGCGTTTTTTTTACAAAAGGCTGGCCGCTAATTTGTGTTTACGGTGGCATACAAATCCAAACGCACCACCAAACTGACGCTATAACAAAGCCCTTCACTAGTAAATACTTCCATATTCTCGTGTTCTTCCAATTATAGTCGACTTTTGTGTTATTGTTACTGTTTCATTGAGCCGCAGAACACCCCTTTTCGTCCTGTTCGCTTTCTTGCTACTCAGAATCCTCGAAGCCAAGGCCCAAATGCCTATACCAAAACATCAATTTAGCGGAGGAGCTGGCACACAAGTCTAGTTTTCTGATTTATTAGTTCCTTTGCAGCATGCAAATTTTATTAAATGTACCTTTGCTCCCGTCTAATCCCCGTCCTCCTCGGCAGGGGCCGTGCTCGAGAGAAGGTGCCCGATCCGCAGAATCTGGAGGAGCGTTTCTACAAGTGGGGCGTTCGACCCGAGTGGCTGCAGGTGCAGCGTATAATTGATCATCGGGTGGGCCGCGGTGGCAAGGACTGGTACCTGGTCAAGTGGCGCGACCTGCCCTACGACGACTGCACCTGGGAGGAGCTGCTGGGCAACGAAGTGCCCGAGTTCGATCGCTTTGTGGAGGAGTTTAAACTGATGCGCAACCTCTTCACTGGCAACCTGAAGGGTCTCGCTGTGGGCAGCGAGGCGGGCAGCGGCGGCAGCGGCACCGGCACCGGCGCTGCGGCCGCCGGACAGAAGCGCAGCAAGACCAGTCGTCGCAGGGAGTCAGACGCTGCCATCAACAAAGTCAGCCCCAACCTACTGAAGAAACTGCCGCCTGAAAAGCCGCAAACAGACTTGCGCAAGCAGCTGACCAAGCAACCCGAGTACATGGATGAGACAGGTGGTCAGTTACATCCATACCAGCTGGAGGGTCTCAATTGGCTCCGCTTCTCCTACGGAAACAAGGTGGACACAATACTGGCCGATGAGATGGGCCTGGGCAAGACCATTCAGACAATCGCATTTCTCTACTCCCTCTACAAGGATGTGAGCCACTGCATAATTGTGTTTGTGCCTGAGGCACTTTATTCTGTTCCTGTTGTAATCTACTATATTTTATATACCATACGTAATCCAACAAGGGTGGAGAGAATGAGACAACAGCTGTTCCAGGGGTCGCAGCGAGTTCAGTCGCTGGCTCTCAGCCGTTATACCTCGACAAAGACTGACTGGCTGGGGAGGCGATAATGGAACATCGCTTTTATGACTAGAGTTGACATTTGACAGGTCCAAAAACTATACTGTCTCACTACTTGTTATAGTTTTCGACCCACTTCTGACACCTTATTGCCCGTTCTCATCGTTTACCACTGGAACAAAATCTTATGGAGCGGTAAAGCAGGGAACGATTTTTGCCAGAATGATAAGAAGATGAGAGAAAGAATGTAACCCTTCCTGGCCCGAAGCATTCTACCTCTATCGGACGTAGTGGAGTTGTGGTATGGGTGTGTATCCCTCTAGAAGGGGAAAGGAGCATCTGTAAAGTGTTGTACTGCCCACGCCATTCATTCGATCTGAATGTGAATGCTTTCAAACTAAAGTGGGACATCTGCGCTTTCAGCTCGCATCCAATACTCAAACTCCAACACAAAACGGTAGAATCTAAATAATAATTTTCCCAATGTCCACAAATTTTCGGGCTCAACGGAATGTACACCCACCAATCTTTCAACCGTTGCAAACGTTACATTCAATTAACCCAGGATTATTAATGGTTTCTCATTCTCCTCCCACACGAATCTCTACCGTGTTTTTTCCTCTGCAGGGTCACAGCCGCGGACCGTTCCTCGTAGCCGCGCCCCTCTCCACCATCATCAATTGGGAGCGCGAGTTCGAGTTCTGGGCGCCCGACTTCTACGTGGTCACTTACGTGGGGGATAAGGACTCTCGCACGGTTATCCGAGAGCACGAGTTCTCCTTCGACGAGGGCGCCGTTCGCGGTGGCAGTCGCGCAGTGAAAATGCGCTCCGGCACCGCGGTGCGTTTCCACGTCCTCCTCACCAGCTATGAACTGGTCTGCATCGATCAGGCCCTCCTCGGTTCCATCGAGTGGGAGGTCCTGGTGGTGGATGAAGCTCATCGTCTGAAGAACAATCAGTCCAAATTTTTCCGGATGCTCAGCATTTACAAAATTGGCTACAAACTACTGCTCACTGGCACTCCACTGCAGAACAATCTGGAGGAACTGTTCCATCTGCTGCATTTCATGTCCCCTGAGAAGTTCTACGATATGCAGGGCTTCCTGGATGAGTTTGCGGACATTTCAAAGGAAGACCAAGTAAAGAAATTACACGAAATGTTGGGGAAGCACTTGCTGCGACGTCTAAAGGCGGACGTACTTAAGAATATGCCGTCGAAGGGCGAGTTCATTGTCCGCGTCGAGCTCAGCCCCATGCAGAAGTAAGTTTAGGGCTTCCACGTAACCTCTGTCTCGTCAACTTGTCGCCCCGAGGCGCACTGTTTTAAGAATATTTGTATCTATCTTATGGAGAGGCGGCTACCCTCTACAGAATTACAGCTTTACTTCCAATATTAGCCAACTCAATTCCTGAGCAAGTGACGTTTAGCTGACTCTCCTCCCCGGCCTGACTTTTATGGTAAACAGGGCATGCCCACCCTGGTTCCCAGCGCCAAATGACTGACCAGCTCAGACAGTGGATTGGTTCATGAGAGATGGGAGAGAGGTCGACACAGGGGTTTCCATCCCCTGGATGCTTCAATCCGTTTCTTATTGTAATACATTTTGCGCGTTCTAAAATCATCACGATGCGCTAAAATTGGTAGCTTGGGGGACTTCCAGCTGACTGGACAACTCGACCCTGGCGGTCAGCACTGCCTATGTGGGGTGACTGGCTGGAGGACTGAAAGTCAGGCTCAATAGCTTCCTAATGTGGCATCCATGGCATTCACGAACGGGAGATCCGAACCTGGTATCATTGTGTGGCGAACAGGTCGTGTGTGGCATACGCAGACGGCCTGTCGAGCTTTGTGTTCGCCACTGCGTCCCAGGCCCCCTCCGATCGTCCTGACTCTGTCTTGCCGCCGAGGCCATGTGGGTGGGGGAGGAGAGTGTGCGATAGATGCTGCGCAGGTCATTGGTGGACGGCGGTTGAACTGTCACTTGCTCGTCCTCGTTGCGCCGTCCTCGCGTCGCCCAAGAACGGGCAAATTTTAGCGGAAAACTCTGTTGGTTGTCGTTGTCACTGTCGGAATATTGTATCTCGTCAGTCATACTGGAATACTCATGGAACACCACATTGCTATCCTCCTATTAACTCAATTGATCTACCGCTGTAATAGTCGGTAACCCATCGAACTGACACCCTACAAAACCGATTCTGTCACTCCAGTAGATTGCAGTTTGTGGGGCAGGAAACAGTTCGACCGTCGATCTCGACGATGTCCATCGTGTACCTTGCAGCAGGGTGAGAGCAGGGACGGTGACTTACGCGTGAATTAGTTTATAGTGATTGCAGACTTGTGAAGCATCTACCGAAGTCTCCTCCCCCACCTGGGTCCGGTGTCATGACCAAATCAAGAAGACCGGAGGCGGAAGAGGACGCAGGTGGCTGGCATAGCGAAAACCCCAAACTAGATGTACCACCACATCCTCCGGTCCACAACAAACACTTGACCAAAATCTTCAACAACAACAAAAATGAGGGACGATAGTGATCCCAATTTGCGCGGCGTGAGCCTGCAACTGGTCCGGCTGCCACCTAACCCCAAATGTTGGCTTTTGTTATGCGTGCACATTTCCGACAATGCCTTCCGGACTCCGATGTGGTCCCCGGTTGGTCCAGCACATGCACCGTATGGCCCGTTTTAAGGGAAGTCCATTTCGTCAGAATCGTCATATCCGGTCAGTGAGACAGCCGCCCGATTTTTGACACTACTAGGAATCGAATTGAAACGCGGCACTTGGAGCCATGCAATACTAATTATGCTGGTGGTAGGCCAATACGACACGGCGACTTCCCGCATCTTTTATGTATGACCACTAACCGATGGTCAGTCATTAAACCTTTCACGACTCCGCTTCACACTCTTTCGCCTTCTCATTCCCACAGAAAGTACTACAAGTTCATTTTAACGCGGAACTTTGATGCGCTGAGCTGCCGCGGCGGTGGAACTCAGGTCTCCCTCATCAACATTATGATGGACCTGAAAAAGTGCTGCAACCACCCCTACCTCTTCCCCTCGGCAGCCGAAGAGGCACCGCGCCTGCCCAACGGCGCCTACGAGGGCAACTCCCTGCGAAAGGCATCCGGCAAGCTGGAACTGTTAGGCGCGATGCTGCAGAAGCTGCATGCCAGCGGTCATCGTGTCCTCATTTTCTCCCAGATGACCAAGATGCTGGACCTGCTGGAGGACTTCCTGGACGCCTGTGGCTACAAGTTCGAGCGTATTGACGGTGCCGTCACGGGCCAACAGCGTCAGGATGCCATCGATCGCTTCAACGCCGTCGACTCACTCTCCTTCGTCTTTCTTCTCTCCACTCGAGCTGGTGGGCTTGGCATAAATTTGGCCACTGCAGACACAGTCATCATCTATGACTCTGACTGGAATCCACACAATGATATTCAGGCCTTCTCCAGGGCTCATCGCATCGGCCAGGCCAACAAGGTTAGTTGTCTCTTAGGAGTCGGCAATTGTACATTTTCTGTAATTCACCATCACCGGCAAACTGAATACCAGTCCTAAGTGCCGCTGACTGTTTTCGCCAGACGAAGTAAGACTCATACTATAAAATCCGGCTAGGCTTCAGAGTTTTCCAATATAAACCCGACAAATACCAAAATAGGCAATAATTCCATAGCGGACTAGAGGTTTTGTCCCCTGAACAATTCTGTTCACACGGAATTTTAGAGATCAATGTCGAAAAGTAGTATTTGCATAATTAAGGGGTTCTTCTGACCTGCATAATACGTCGAGTTTATCCTTTTCGTCAGAGGACTAAGTTATCACTCCCATGTGGAAGTCGTTCGAAGCTCGCCATGAATATCAACTTAGTAGACTGTCCAGTGTAGACCTACATGTGCGCGTGCTGGACGATTTAGGTTACATTTGATCGGGAAATACCCGGTTTTCAGCAATTCTGAGTAGGTCTGCACCAGGGTTACGTGTTCGCCAAACATCGCAGTAGGCACCGAAGAGCTTAGAGGCGTCCTGTTGTGGAGTTACCCCTCTTGAAAGTCGACTGGCGATAAGCCCACCATAGTTAGACTTTTGTCGGCATCGCTAAGGACGGATGTCAACGTTCTCCTGCGTAGGTTGTTATGTGCTCCAAATTACGCTTTTCCCAAATCTAATTGGTCATGTCAGACGGATGGGTCCAGGATTTAGACAGCTCATCCGTCTTTTTCAGGTTAGTTTACTTTAACGAACGATGTAGTGGCTTGCAGAGGCTTCCGCAGTTAGAATAATTGGAGTTAAAAACTGTCCCTACTTTAGTGTTTCTCGCCTCAAACCACATTGCGGTATGTGCGAAAATTCATCTGACCTTGAAGAAGATTTGGCGGCGATTCGTTCCGCATTTCGCATTATCCGTCTATCCCTGCCACATTTCGCCTATCCAATCGTCCACGATGTAGGTTGTTATATTAGAGAGCTGGATACCCCTTTTATCCGTCGTACTTACTCTGCCTACGGTTGCCCGCGCGGGTTATCTTCACACTCATCATTAAACCACTCACCATCTCCGCCGAGGCCCGCGAATCACCAGCTGGGGTCTTTAAGTGTACAATCAAAGAGTCATGTAACGCCGATGTGCATAGTACATAATCCCAAATTGGTTTACATGCTGTAGCGTGCAGGCTTTACGCTGTGAAAATCTCGAGCTGCTACGCGATCTCACATGGAAAAGAGGCCAAAACAGTATGCCCTTTTCAAAAAGTTTTCTTTGCATAGTCATTTCTAATTAAGAATTAGCAAAATTAGTTTCTTCTAAAACTTACATAAATAGTAATTTCCTGGTGATTTAGTACTTTAAAAAGGTGTATTTCAAGACATTTGCATGCAAACACGCATACTTTAATGCCCACAGGTATATCGCTCTTGCCTGCCCAGCCTACCCGTCTTTACAGCTATATCCGTATGCTTTGGAGGTTTTTCGATGTACCGCCATGGTAACGAAAAAAATTCCGAAGGTTCTTTCGGGGAACCCACAAACCCTAGAATTACATAAAGACGTTGAGAAATACACATATCAATTATCAGCTCAAATCACGGATTCGAGTACGATTCAAGTTTTTAGAAACCAGCAGTGTAGAAAATGATCTTTTGTCAATTATTTGTACAAAGACTTTGCAAAAAGGGGATAATATATACCTTTTGCGAGTAGGCGGTTTTCGGTGGTAAGCCATTATGCCACGGTGGGTACGAAGTAATTTGGGATTGTGTTTCATCCTCACCATCCTTGATGGACCGCTCGAGTAACCTTTTCTATTTGACAACATATTCCTATGTCCCAGTCAAAGTTTTATTTGTTTTTGCACCTACTTCGTTTTAGCCAGTGCTTATGCAGATTTCCTGCCAGGTAGTGCTGATTAGATATAAGCAGTACAAACCCTTTCCAGGTGTCCGTATTTAAATAATAACCTGATGGTATGGCTGCTGTACCATCACGTCGCTCACTGTCAGAGGCCATTATGTGCACACGACTCTGTATGCTGCCTTCCCTGTAGGTGATGATCTACCGTTTTGTGACGCGGAACACGGTGGAGGAGCGTGTCACTCAGGTTGCCAAGAAGAAGATGATGCTTACTCACCTCGTCGTGCGACCCGGTCTGGGTGGTAAGGGTGCAAGCCAGATGTCCAAGAAGGAACTCGACGACATCCTCAAGTTCGGCACTGAGGATCTCTTCAAGCACGAGGATCAGGACGGTAAGATGTCTACCATGATGTTCTAGGGCATATAAAAGGCCCCGAGTGACCTTTCCTGACCCGTATATCCCCCCCCTGTCATTAATGTCTTTTGGGGCTGTTTTGACTCTACGCCTGAACGTCTACGCCTCCTGAATACGCCACTTTGATTATTAGAACCACCCCACTTGACATGATCGCTTGGGTTTTCTTGCCTAATCTTCATTTACTACTTTTCGTTAAGTGATATCTCAACCCATTTCCTGACCCTAGATATTAAAGAAAGCATTAAACCCGTCACTAATGTATTGATTTTTTTATGTTTTCAATTACTGGGTGACTGCTGTCAGTCAAGTACGTCCCACCGGGACCGCGAATTACGTTTCGAAAAGTCCGCCCTAGAAAGCACACTTCTTCTCATCCTCCATCATCCCTTTTTTTCTACAGACAGCGATGAGCACTGCATAGTTTACAACGATGCCGCCCTGGAACGACTACTGGACCGTAGCCAGCAGGGCATGCAGGAGAAGGAGATGGAGATGAATGACTACCTGAGCTCCTTCAAGGTTGCCCACTACGAGAAACGCGAAATTCAAGATGAGGAAGAGGAGGAAGTGGAGGAGGAGGAACAGGAAGATCGAGAGGTTTGTCGTGATTATTATCGTGTAAAGATCCGCTGTTTGTCGATATCTCCCCTACCTGCTCTTACCCTCTCCGGGTGCTGGTGGTGGTGATGGCGGCGGCGGGGGCATGACTAGTATGGTCACACGGCCTGAACCAAAGTTTACTAGAACAGTGATGCCGATTAGTACTTCTCAGCAATAGAGTTGACCACATAGTCTATCTCTAGCCACCACTTTGCAACTAATCTCATATTTGAAGTCTCACTGGCGGGCGCAATGAAAGACTGCTTCTTGACCAACTCCATTCTTATCCTTCACCACCGCCGTCCACACTTCTAGCCGAATTCCCTGCGGTAGATGCTTTCCTGGAGACCAGTGGCCCCTCCTATGGTTCCATTCCGAGGACCCCAGCCGGTGCATTCTTTGAACACCGGGAAGATTCTGTCACTAGCATCCTCTGTCGAAGACTCGGACAGCATATGTCACGCAGACATCCAGTTGGCCGAAGCATTTGCTCTGGATAAATACAACCGAAATGCTGGCTTAGCCTGTCAGTGGATTTACACAGACTACCGCAGTCGAATTGGAACGCAATGGACGAGAGTAGTCTGTTCCACCTGTTTGTAACCTCGTCATCCATCCAATCTGAGCACAGAGTTGCTACCCGAAACACATTCAAATGCTCACTTAAGAGCTGCGGGGAGACTAAATGATCCCTCGTAAACTATTTCCCCCCATCTTGCAGGCTTTTTGGCATGTGGGTTATTTCCCATCTGCCCCCCCCAAAATACCGTCCCCTCAGACACTATATGTACAAACTGCTCCTTTTTGTCACGGCATTTGTGCAGGTGATCCAACAAGACCTTGATCCTGCTGATCCGGCCTACTGGGAGAAGCTGCTGCGGCACCACTTTGAACAGGCTCAGGAGGATCAGGCGCGCAGTCTGGGCAAAGGAAAGCGCATCCGCAAGAAGGTCAATTACTCCACTAATCATGAAGATGAGGAGGAGTGGAATGAAGCGATGAGTGACCATGACAGCAATTTCTCCACTAAAGTGCGTCCTCTCAATTTTGATGTTTTTCGTCTTTATCGCTCCGCGCCTTGTTGTGTTGTGCTTGTTCATGCCGTTTGTGCTTTCGGAAAGATCGCTACGATGATGTAGTAATGCAAACAAAAATAGTTGTATATGTGTATACAGTAGATGTGCTAACTCAAATGTCAACCAAAATTTCGAAATGCGTTCTCGTTTCGAAAAGATCAATTAAGTAGTGTTATAAAACTAATCATGATGCAGCACAAATCTATAATGCTCCAGTTACCTCAGGGTGTCGGCTTTCGAAGGAACTTATTTTCGGCTGCATGCAAGGTCTATACTCTGCAAAAAATGACTACTTAAGTAGCATGCAATTTTCTCATTGATTTTCGATGCCCTGGAAAATTCAATTATATTTCATAGAAAACATGCATAAAAATATTCATTCCTTTACTTATTCGGTAGAAAATCACGTCTTCTTCCAATTTCATACTCAAAAGAAGAGTATAATTCGTTTTTAAAAAAGTTTCTAATTGTGAGATTTTTTAATAACCGCTAAATGGCCGTTCATGAAACGTCATGTATCTGCATTTACGAATGTGGCTTGTAAAGTTAACAATATTGCTCAAATCCACTGCTTAATTTTATGAAACCTGTGTGGTCTCCTCTTAATATCGTAGAGAAATGCATGCAATATTGTTAACTTTACAAGCCATATTCGTAAATGCAGATACATGACGTTTCATGAACGGCCATTTAGCGGTTATTAAAAAATCTCACAATTAGAAACTTTTTTAAAAACGAATTATACTCTTCTTTTGAGTATGAAATTGGAAGAAGACGTGATTTTCTACCGAATAAGTAAAGGAATGAATATTTTTATGCATGTTTTCTATGAAATATAATTGAATTTTCCAGGGCATCGAAAATCAATGAGAAAATTGCATGCTGCTTAAGTAGTCATTTTTTGCAGAGTATAGACCTTGCATGCAGCCGAAAATAAGTTCTTTCAAAAGCCGACACCCTGTGGTAACTGGATCATTATAGATTTATGCTGCATCATGATTAGTTTTACAACACTACTGAATTTGCCTTTTCGAAAAGAGAACGCATTTCGAAATTTTGGTTGACATTTCATGAGTTAGCACATCTACTGTATATAATGGTAGAGGGGCGCAACTTGTGGAACAACGAGTCTGGGGCTCAGTGGCTAGGGCGTTGGACTTCTAACCAGCGGGTCGCAGGACCAAACCTCAGGAGTTACACACCTCGGGGTTGGGTTTGGCTGGCTGACGACAGCTAAAAGCCAGAGATGGCCATTCCAAACTCCCCTGTTTTTATCGGTAATGCTATTCTGCCTATATATAGTAGGTGAGCTAACTCATGAAATGTCAACCGAAATTCCGAAATGCGTTTTCGATTTGAAAAGATTAACTAGGTAGCGTTGTAAAACTAGCCATCGTGCAGCATAATTCTATAATAATTCAGTTACCTCAGCATTTCGACTTTCAAGCGAACTTCTTGCCGGCTGCATGCAAGAACTATACTCTGCAAAAAATGACCACTTAAGTAGCATGCATTTTTCGATGCCCTCAAAAATTCAATTATATTTCATGGAAAACATGCGGAAAATATTCATTCTTTTGCTCATTCGGTAGAAAATGACGTCATCTTCCAAGTTTATACTCGAAGGAAGGGTATAATTTGGTTTTTAAGAACTTTCCCGATTCCCGAATAATTTTGAACCCGACCTGCCTTTACACTTTCTGTCAGGGTTTCAAAATTACCAGCCGTATATTCTCCGCGTACGGAAAACCATACGTTTCTCTACGATATTAAGAGGAGGCCATATGGGATTCATAAAATTTAGCAGTGGATTTGTGCCATACTGCTAACTTTACAAGCCACGTTGGGAAATGTAGAGACACGACGTTTTATGAACGACCATTTCTTCGTGTATAAAATTAGAAGAAGGCGTAATTTCCCGCCGAATGAGCAAAAGAATAAATACTTTTATGCATGTTTTCTATAAAATATAATTGAACTTTTAAGGTCGTCGAGCACCAATGAGCAAAATGCATGCAACGTAAGTAGTCATTTTTTGGAGAGCATAGTTTTTGCATGCAGCCGGAAAGAAGTTCCTTCGAAAGCCGGCCTCTCGAGATAACTGAATTAATATAGATTTATGCTGAACGTACACACTCCTAAGGGGTTTTAAGGTGCATTTCCCACTCCACCGATTCCCATAAAATCACTTCATTTTTTTGAATCACAGGGGACGTTCGCCTGGTTCCATTTATTGGGGAATGAATTATTTTTCGCACATTATTCGAGGGAACATAACCTGGGGTAGAGCTTCGCATCAGTGTCGTGACGGACCCGGGTTAGAACCCAAACGAGATTAGGTAACAATCGGGAGAGGGCACCCAAAAATATACTGCCGGCCAAAGAAGCGATCTTATCGCAACTGTCCTAAGCTATGCAGCCATTGACTGAGTCGCACACTGGCGACTGCGGTAGCTCCTGACCTCTGGAAGTAGTGGTAAAAATTGATAATCCAAGTGCTCGGTCAACGGCGATCGTATTGCGATTGTCCGTATAGAATAATCCGCATAGGGACTACTGCGGTCGCTTGTCAGCAGTGGAAGCTTATATTAAGGTTGTTTAACGTAGGGCTGGTCTACGGCGATCGTTTCTCAACTCTCCTAAGGTATGCAAGGGTAGATTTAGCCGCAAACCCATCACTGCTGTCACTCTTCAGCCGTGTAAGCCTAGGTCAAGGTTGATTAACCATGACTCGGTCTGCAGCGGTGGAATGTCAACTGTTGGAGACTATGGTAATCTGAGTGAGGCAACATGTGCGCTGCAGATCAGATAAAATTGAGGTCGGATGAAACAACAAATATGTAGGACCATAACCTACTCAAATAGGTATAGCAGGTATTATTTCTAGGCAACGGATATTTGGGTGCCCTCTCCCGATCGTTTCCCGATATTAATAGACCTAGGCACCGATTCACCGACTTCCCGAAGCAAACAGGCTCCGACTGGGCGACAGGCAGCCACCTGTCAGGCCGAGCCAATCATAACCTTGAGAAGTATCTGAGTCCAGAAGCACAAGCATACGCATGCATACGACACAGATTGTCGACCATCGGGATCTGCCAGGTGGGTCATAAAGTCATGATCAATTCGAAGTTCTTGAGTGCACCTCACCGCCTGGCATTCTCTGTCGCCGCGGATCGAGTATTTATCCAAACATAGATGGGCGCGAACTGGCCTGTTGGTTTCGCGGAGTAAATAGGCCCGAAATAGTTCTGTGGTAATGGATCTGCATCTTTGCAGTCGCTCCCTCTGCCATCATAGCTTGAGTGAGGTTTCTTCACTTCGGTGTGCGCCCGCTGTTTGTGTTTGATTTAGGCTACTACTTTTTATTTAGTCGAGATCTAACCTTCCAGATTTTCCGGTACTGCCATCTCACGCTATGATGTACATGCTGCCTTCCCTCTTTCGATATCCGTTTAGTACTTTTTCGACCTTTTCTGGGGGTTTTTAATTGGCGTCGGCTGCCACATCTGGCGACCTTGACCAAAACCACTCTTGACGACACGAGTTTCACTCCATGCATGAGGCGTGAAGCAAATAAGTGTCCGATCGCATGTGGCCATTCACAGCCTTAAAAAAATCATCATAAGCACGTGGACGAGCCCAAAGTAGAAAGTCGAGAGAGATAGTCGAGGCCTGAAATCCGACGCAAGCTCGATCAGCCGCTGCCGTACGAACCCTGCAGCCACCACTCGGCTACGGGGGAAGGAGCAATGAGAAGACAGGTAGTTGGACCTGCCACGAGGGAGGTCTTACTGAAACCCTGTTTGGCCCTTCTTGTCCGATGATATTTTCAAGCACGACTGCGAGTCGTCAGATTTGTCAACTGTCCTCACCATAGATCGCCGTCCGGCCTTACGCCATCTTCACATCTGATGCAGGAATCTTTGCATATGTAAACAAATGCTTATGAAACATAGAAGGTTCGTTGGTGTATAGGTCGGTGAGCGCCCACTGTCATAATTGATATTTCCGATCACAACCGGCAAGACAACCGGCCCGTGGCTCAATGGTAGGGTGTCAACCTCCATGACCAAATATCCCGTGTTCGAGTCTCGAGTGATCCACACTTGGGTTTGGGTATGACTGGCCGATGACGGCTAATAAGCCAGAAATGGCCATTGCGGTCTCCCTTGTCTTTGTCGGTACAACCTGATATATATATTTTTAGCTTTGGAATGTCGCGCGTTTATTCTCTTGAAACCAATGGGATTCGGCCCAGGTATTCACAGTGACTCTGGTCAGACCTGAAGTGGCTTGTTTTGGGGATCTCGCTCGAAATTCACGCTTTACTCTAATAAAATTGAAAAGCTGAACACGCAGTTATATGTGCTTATACTTATACACATTGTACTCATCTATTCAGGATGAAGATGACGAGGAATATGATGAGAAGAACGGAGGTGGAAGTGGAGAGGGTATCATGATCGGTCGCAGAATGCGTCGGGAGCGAGAGGGCAAAATGCCACCCCTGTTATCGCGTGTCAACGGCCAGATTGAGGTGCTAGGCTTCAATATTCGTCAGCGCCGCTCCTTCGTCAACGCGGTCATGCGATACGGCCTACCGCCGGCCGATCAGTCCTACGTGTCAGCCTGGAACGCGCGAGACCTGCGCGGAAAGCCGGAGCGTGTCTTCCGAGCCTACGTCAGCCTCTTTATGCGCCACCTCTGCGAGCCTGAGTCTGTGAACCAGGAGACCTACGCGGACGGCGTGCCGCGGGACGGCATCTCGCATCAGCAACTCCTCTCCCGCATTGGAATCATGTCGTTGGTGCGCAAGAAAGTGCAGGAGTTTGAGCACATCAACGGGCAGTACAGCATGCCGGAGCTGATGCCGAGTCACCTGAAGAGCAAGACGGCGGCAGCTGATGCTGGGACGCCGACAGCTTCTGCTGCAGAGTCCTCTGAGGATGCACTGGGGACAGCAAAACCAACACAATCGGCGCCGAGTGCAGCAGAAGAGGAAAATGGCTGTTCCGATGACGCCTCCAAGGCAAGCGATAGAACGGAACCCATGGAGATTGTGACCGAGGAACCGCAGTCAAGAGAGGCGGAAACGACCGATGGCAAGTCGGCGGACTCGGAGGCCAAACAGGTGCGTCCCCCCGTAACTGTTAGAGTGCTTTTTTTGCAAAATCTCACTTTATTTTTATCGTTACCCCTTTTTCCCCAGAATGAGCAGAGCCGTAGTGTCATGCATAAAAACGGGGCCATACGTTCTGTTGAGGCAATTGTCCGAAAGAAATCTCGCGTCGCTTGATGGACCAGCGTGCTCTGTCACACTGGAGACCAGGGCAGAACAGCCACATCGGTCCATCTTCTGTTGCCTCCCATCTATCCATTGGAGGAGCGACTTGGGAAAGTTTTGTGCGCCTTTTTCTCACAGTAGTACATCTGACGCGCATTTGAGCTGCGACAAAGCCGTTGAAATTGTGACCTAGACTATCGACCAATGGGATAACGTTCTTCCGAGTTCGGAGAGGCAGTTTGCAATGTCTCAGTGCTTTGGTCTCATCAACGTGACATTCAAGTGAGTTAAGTTTGGGGATCGAGGAAGCGGCGCGCATGCGTCACGCGTAAATTAAGTCAGCCTATTTCATTCTTGCTGCTGTTTCATTCTGGGCGAGGAAGGGGTTAGACTGATACTGTGAAAGCGCAACACATCATTGTCACTACTTGGTACTAGTCGCGTTCGTACACGAAGGACGAAGTCTTGTCTGTGCCAGCTCCTGAGGCGTAGGCCAGGCCAGTGTCAGTACTGGAAAGGCGATTGGGGCCGCAGACTCCTCAGCAGACGGAGAACTAGATTTATTCAAACATTTGTGGCAGACTATTAGTTAGTAACTTTTCTGCCATCGTCGACTGGCCTTGTCATACACCAGCCTACCCCAAAATGGGCGTAATCGAGGGGGAAGGACTGAATTCGGTGCTCATGGTGCCGGCCAAGATTCTGTCATTCACCGTGTCCATCATCAGTCGTTGTAATCTTACCCCGGACCTCCCCCAGCCAGACCATGAGGTGGGGAGGTGCAGTGCGATACAAATGAGAACGTAGATTTGGACGATGTCAACCGATGAGATAGTTATTTTTTCTAAGTAAAACCGGGTTTTGATGCCTGCTTTGTGATGCGGATTTAACTGCACATGATGTGTGTCTGACCGTAAAGTTCTACAACTTGTTGCAGCCGGCAACCGCTTAGTGATGGCAAAGTAGCTGTCGAGACGTCTTAGCGACTAAGCCAGCTAAGCCTGGAATGGACACTTCTAGCTTATTCGACATAGTCCATCAGCCCACCCCACAATCCTAGGTTGGAAGATCTGAGCTTAATCAAGTTAGTCATTAATCCGAATGCTTTCCTAGTTGAACCGCGGCCTCACTTTGCCCACTGGTCCTCGCGAGCACGGACAATTTCCCACGTAGGTTTCGGTTCGCCTATCAACGAGAACCACAGCTATGACCTTTGCAACACATTTGGTCGACCGACGACCGGAAGAGAATGCGAGACAGCTTGAACCTTTAGCATCATATCTCGACCCCTATGAACGACGCCTATTGGGCTGATGGGCTGGTTTTTCTTTCTCTTTGGTTCCAGCAACTCCTGATCAAGGCCATGGTTGACGCTATCAAGGAGAAGACGGAGGCAGCAGTCGCCAAGAAGGCAGAGGAGGCAGCAGCAAGTACAGCAGCAAACACTGAAGAGGGCGAGGAGGTGACACCGGCTGGCGCACAGCCCTTCATGTTTAACATTGCCGATGGCGGATTCACGGAGTTGCATACCATCTGGCTGAATGAGCAACGTGCCCTATCAGAGAACCTCGAGTCGGAGATTTGGCATCGTCGACATGACTACTGGCTGCTGGCTGGCGTGGTTCAGCACGGCTATGGCCGATGGCTGGTGAGTCTTGCCCGTCTTCTTTTTTGTGTGTGAGCTCGTCTACCGCTGTCGATCTGCGTGTCCGTTTATTCTGTGAACAATCGTAAGTAGGGCTGGTAGATTAACAGATCGATCTCTCTAAAGCCAGTGGTTACTAGAACAAGTGTATTGCCACTGGTTCGCTCTGGTTGGCATTAAGTCCGGATTTTAAAACAAGCATAAGCAGTGGGATTTGATGGTATCATAAAAATTTCGCGACCGTTTATCAACTGCTTCCTGGATAACGGCCAATGAGTACACAATAAGTTAATTTTGTCCAGAAAATAAATATGAAAGCAACAAGGTACGGCTTTGGAACGTCTGGTCTAATTGATGAAATGGCTCACTTAAAAACTACAATAATAACATACGAATGGTGTGAAAATCAAAGAAATGAGAGTTATCAGGGAAATTTCAGGTCTATTTGTCTGCACCGATTAGGCCTCTCCCTGCGCATGTAGGCTACTCCTAAGTACTGCAACGGTCAAGTTGTTCCAGCACGAACGAGCGCCCGGAAGGCAGTTTTCGCGTCAACCGAAGGGGGAGGGGGTTAAAAGATAGAGGATCTGGTTGCCTGTTGCTTTTGCGTTTGCCCAGTGCATCCGCAGGAAGCAGTTGACAAACCGTCGCCAAACGTTTTTGATACCGATACACCCTGCTGTTTATGCTTGTTTCAAGGCCGGATTGCCGGAGTTGTGGGAAACAACGGACTTTGTAGGGGTCAATCTGATGGACGTGGACACTTCTGTCGACTTGACTCATAGTTGCTCAGCACGTCAGCCTTCAGCGAAAACCAACGACAAAATAGACACACCTCTGACTAATAGAAAGTCGCAAACCATTGGTGACAGTGATACCGAAGCACGAAAATTTGAAGCTTTACACCAACTACCCGATAAAGTGACATTGTGACACTGCCACGTTGGACCCCCAACCGCTGCTTTGCGGATTGGCCAGCCATCCAAAAGTTGATTTGACAGCCAAGAAACGAATATGTACCAACCTCTTGAGCCATCTTCAAATGTCAGTTCCGTAGGAAAGTTAATCTTCTCACTCGGCCGCCGAAAACGGGCAGATTTTTTCCATAAATACGGCATCCTAAAATGCAGGCATCTGGTGGCCCTTTCGGCGTTGGCTTTGAACCTTCATTGTTAACTGCTTTCATCCTCCCGTCTCCTTCGCAGTTGACTTTATTGCAATAACCATGATTGTTGTTAGCCTGCAGTTTAGCTTAACGTTATTTCAGTTGATACTACTTAGTCTTTTGGTACTGCAGAATTTCATTTTTCAGACCCAAACTACGATGCCTGGTCTGATAGGGAAACTGGGGTCTTTGCACCTGGCGATTTTTAACACCACCATTCCAGCAGCTGAAGAGTTTGGCATATGTCGTAATTTAGAGATTTCTGGTGACAGGTCGCTTGAAATAAGGAGACTCGCACGGTCAGACATCACGTCGCCAAGTGGAGTGAACTTTGCATTCCCCGTAATTTCGCTATGAATGTCCCCCTCTCCCCCCCCCTCTCGCCGACACCCTTTCTGATTGAGCTTTTCGCTACTTCCTGACCTGCTGCCTTTAGAAAGTTATGAATTATGTCACTTCCGTCTACTATCTATCTGTCTGCGTTAAAAAAGTTTGCTTTGCGAGTGACACAGCTGCAGCTCAGACTACATTCGGTTCGCCTTGTGAATCCCGAATTAGAGAATGTAGCTTGTTCGCATAGTTGTTGACGGAGCGCCCTTTGCGTAATCAGAAAGTGGGCGTTTCCTGACCGGGCGAGTTTTCCCGTTGCCGTATTGAGTTCGCGCTAGGCCCATTTTTGCTTAGTTTTCTCCACTTAAGTCGTATTTTCTTTTCAGGACATCCACAATGATTGCCGTTTCGCTTTGGTTAACGAGCCCTTCAAGAACGAGCTCTCTAAACCGAATTACCTTGAAATCAAGAATCGCTTCCTTGCACGTCGGTTCAAACTGCTCGAACAGGCGCTCATTATCGAGGAGCAGCTGAGACGAGCAGCCCATCTGAACATTGTCTGTGATCCAAGCGATAGTGTCCAGAACCTTAACCGTAGGTTTAACGAACTGGAATGTCTTGCCGGCGCACAACAACACATTTTCGCCGAGGCGCTCTCTGGGAACAAAGCCCTCGTGCCGCTCCTCCATAAGGGTGCGTTTCCTCGACATTGCCTCGTTCTGCAGACTTCTTAAATATATCTACTTGCTCTGCATTAAGTAGACATTATTCCAACATTTTATTCTACGTTCAGCCTTGACCATGATGGAAGACTACCTCGCGGAGATGAAGCAAGATATCTCCCGCCTCCTGACACTTGTCCCGCGAATGCCACCGGTCGCCAGCCGTCTAAATCTCAGCCACACCGGTCTCCTTACCAAGCTGACGCAGCAGCTTACTGCCGCCAAGCAGGCTCAAGCTTTAAAACAGTCCTCCAGCAGCCCTTCTCTGTCGACTCCAACTGCCACACCGTCGGCTGATTCGACCGCAGCAGACACTGGAGCTAATGCCGCCAGTGTTGACACAAAACCGAAGGCTTGAAAGAGACAAGCTACGGCTCCTTTTACGCCGTTATTTTTTGCTGGTTCCCTTTCACGTCCTCGTATCTCTCCTCTGCCATTCGATGACTTCTCTATGTAAAACCCCCGCCCCATGCTTGGTATACTCTGTATGGCACTTTCTGTCAGGCCCTTCTTATTATTTATATTTGAACTCAACGTGTAACTTTCGTTTTGCCTTTATTTGTTTAAAGCAAGTGTAAAGGGCTGGACATCGTATGTGTCGGTAGCGGGAGCTCCGTGAAACCTCCTTGAGGTGGCACTGGGAGACCCAATATATCTCGTTAAATTATTTGAGTTCGGATAAGCTCTAAAAACGTGTAACAGCCATGCCCATGAGGTGCCCTCCTGGGCAACGCAACTGCTTTTGTTTTCCGACGTACTGGCCGAATGTCTACTGCGGCAGTCTCTCCCTCCAAAGTAATCAGATGTTGTTCCCCCTAAACATGCAGTGATGCCGGATGAAGCGGCTGCCTTATTTCACCTGTTGGTGCGTGTTCTTCGGTAATCCCAGCTTTGTCTGATGCTAGCGCTTGCCGTTTCAGTTAGACATTTAAAGATCCGTTAAACCCGGGTTCGGATGCCTGACGTTATCGGTCTGGGGACTGAAGTATGACAGACTGCAGACAGTCAGCAAGCCCGAGCTTACTACTCTCTTCGGTTAGTTTTCGCTAGCGGTTGTGGAGACGAAGTGTTTCAGAACCCTCTGACCGCCACGAGGGGCGCGGTTTTTGATGGCAACCAATAAACCTCGCTCTGGTTGGGTGAATGAACGCTCAGGGTTTTCAACTGTCGGATATTCGCCGACTTTACTAGGCCAAAACAAAACCTGACAGCCTCTGCGGGCTGTTGGGAGCAGAAGCGCTAGAAGTACTGGCTCCAGTTTTATCTACGCCTCTGGAACCGCCCACAAGTTCTGCCCTTTTGGTGCGCAGGCTGTGTGGCTGAAAGAAGCAATGCCAGAGCCCAGTGAGCAGATGAACTCTTTCAATTTTGACGTGCTAAGAAGGCTAACCTCTGTCGGGTCGACAGGGTTCATTTCCGGAGCATGTCTGACATCTGCTTGGCATGATTCGAAAATGGGCACCGAATCCCTCCTTGAGGTGAGGAAGACTTGTAAAGCGAGGTAAAAGGTGGATTATACGTGAAACAATGACAGACAAATCAAGAGTAACGTCTAATATCCCCACGGAGAGAGCAGAAATGTTGACCGATGACAGTGGAGAATGGGGCTGTGCAGTGTAGGGGGTAAAATTGCGGCCGGCGTGGGCTTATAATCTGCTGCGGGCGCAGATGGCGTGCCTTCAGACGGGGTGACACTTGGAACAGACGACCAGGTCGCAGAAACGACGCAGTTGGGTTTGGGAGAGTAAATCAGCACTGCAGTGCATAATTTTGCCAACTTGTATGCTGACTGGACGTCTACATTTGCGCACTTCGAAGTTCTCACTTCAGATATAGCTATCAACTTTTCGAACAGTTAACCTCCGAGTTACTTGAGTTGGGTTAGTTTCATCCACCTTTGTTGCAGACCAGCAAACGCCCTACGGACATGAGTCTGAGTAAGTTCGTGTCGCATGGGACGTTGCGAAATGCACCGTCTCTCTAAAATACACATTTATTCCCTGCCAAAACAAACTTTAAAATCTGTTTGGTTGTATTCATTTTCTTTGCTGTTTTCCAGACATGAGATATACGAATGCCTATTAGTTGTGATCTTGGGCGCAGTATAGAACGCATGTTGTGAAGACGGCACATCGAAATATCGAGGCTTTGGGGTATTAACGTGGATGGTGTCATTATATTGCTGCTTTTGGGGAGAGGGGAGAGAGAGAGCTGTTCAGGGGCGATGTTTTACGTGAACGAAGGTGAATGTACGATTTCCAGGTATCTGCATGAGAAATAAGAAGACTGATCGGGCGAAGGAGCCATTTCTTAATTTGTCGGAGCATTCAAACTCGTGCGGGAACCCCTCGTCAGATATAGAGGCATCAACAGAATGGACAACGGTTATAGGGGGTGGTTGCCAATCAGCTATCTGTGACGTAGGTGTGGAGGTTGTCGCGCAGGGCTCTGCATGCCGGCGCCAACTCGACGCGTCTGACTGCCGAGGTTTCATCCGAGGCCCAGGCTTCAATCAGTTCTGGGCTTGTCTTGCTTCCAGTGTGGGCGATTAGCTTGATGACCGTGGAATTATACTCGTAAACCGTTTCGAAGGTGTCGGCAGTCACTTGTGGTAGTCCATCGCCCCGGCACTCATTCAGTTTGTGTCCGTGTATGAACGATTTGAGCACGCGTTCAATCTGATCTGGGGAATTACAGGGAAAGTTTTGGGCATAGGACACAGTTTGCTGCACCCGCCTGCTCCCTCGGTCTTTGACTTTCATGATCCTGCTGCCCATGGTAGTTTTGGACTGGTGGGCTGTTCCAACATCTAATGCCGCAGCCACGCAGTCGGTCGCCTCTGAAACGCCCTTTATGCATGACAGAGGAGCATGTCATGTCACCTATGCTGTTTCAGATGGAGTTCTCCGGCGGCGAACACCCAGGCATTGGCGGACGTACCATAATAGAGAAAAATTCGTTTTACATTACCCACAACAGTTGCGAAACGACCACCTGGTAAGATACGATGGCTAAGAATGAGGAGTTTTCTTAAGCGTCATTTAGGAAGAAGAATTGTCAAGGCCAACTTCATTGCGATACTGCACATCCGTTTGGTAGTAAGGCCCGAGTGACTCCTTTCGACGCGTGGCCTTCGTCAGACTCACTGCTGGAGGTCACTCCCAAACCACCAATCAACGAGAGCCGCAAGTGCCAGCTGACCTTGACACCGGTACAACTAGCAATGGAAACGTTCATGCTGGCGTGTCATGTCGGAGTCAGTTCGTTCTTTCCGTGCAGGCGAAATGGAACAGGAAAGATCTGGCCAACCTGTGCACTGCCATGGTAGCACCCGTTTACAAACAAGGGCTGCCTGAATGCGACACCGAGGGACAATTTCGGGCATGAAAGCATGAATGACAAAGGGGTCTGAAAAGGGAGCATGTCGACCACTTCAGGAGGCGTGAATGGAAGGAAGCTTCCGTAAGTGTCCGGTGAGGAAGGTGTACTGTGCGCTACTGTTGGGTGAAATGGCATTAGGGACAGGTAGAGTGGAGCAGCAAGGGAGATGAAAGAGCTGAAGGCAGGGGACCACAGGACACAGCGAGCGTGGTATCGGAGTCGTCAACCTTGAGGTGGGCCAGGCCAACGACAGCGGAAGCTCTTGGTGGTCTGAGAGACAACCCGGAAGTCAACGCGACAGGGAGGTTTCAACAGATGCACATCCGGTCATGGTGGAGGAAGATGTCGGCAGAAGTCCAGCATATTTCATTCAAGGGTAAATAGGCAATGCCTTTGAAGAGGAGTCTTTCAACGCATGAGACTTGGGGATCGGGCTTGAACCGTGGAGGAGATCCGCATGAATTGGCGGTGGCAAAGAGTGCCCTTGACTATTAGCTCCTGGAAACCAGATTGCTGACAGTCGACGAGGAGATCAAGGTCGACGAAAAGATAGCACACCGGACGTCAGAGTTGACAAAGACCCGATGCACAAGCCCTCAAAGTTCGATAACAGTAGAAATAAGCAGATGAATAAACAACTTTAAGTGACAAGCCAGAGGCGGAGCACTGACGGTGTCTTCAGGCGGGAGAAGTGACACCAACCTGTGCTCCAATGCCAGTTGGAATATGTCTGGTATTGCCGACGCGACAGCCCCAAAAGATGTGAAAAATAGCTGGTAGCCTCGTTTGACGTTTGAGACGAATCGTTTTCTTAAATGTCCCTGCTAGGAGGTAAAAGAACAGAAGAAAACGTAACGGTGAGTCATGACACCAGTGTGGTTTCGGTACCAACATGTTATGGCTGTGCTGAGGTTGGGTGAAGAAGAGGGGTAAATTTGCCGGGCAGATGACCAAGATGAGTCCCTGGGTAAATGGAGGATCCCTTTTCCTTTAAGATAAACAAAATCGCAAACTGACCATTAGGTGTGGTTTCGGTCGACGAATGAGAGAGAGAACGGGAATAGAAAAGTAAAAAATACAGAGCTTGGTAGAGGCTTAGCTCTGGCTGTTCAGTAGAGACTGTCAAGTCTAAATCCTCTTCATGACTGTTAATTTGCATGATATACCAATGCTACAGCCTGAGGATGACTGCTGTCCTCACTTAACCAGACCTTTTCGAGAATGGGCACATTAATCGATATTAAGTGGTCCTCTATGGGATTGCGGTTGTAGTACTCGCCACTTCTGGGGCAGCTTCGTTCGATGATTTGCTCATCCCGGACGACCATATCCGCTATTTCCCCGAGGACACATCGGTGGCTTGTTTGAGAAGCAAGCTACTGTGGGCGAGCTTGCGCTGCTTCCACCGCACTCCCCCCCCCGAAAAAACCATCTTTCGCTGAACAGACGGAGTCAAAACGACCGGATATAGGCGTGGACGCAGTGGTCGGCAGAGTCGGACAGTCCGTATAGGCGTGCCACACACTCGACCCGGTCACTGATCCTAGGCGATCCGGAATTCAGAGTGGGGTAGGATCTCGGATCTCAAGCAGAGGGGAACGCCAGAAAGGCCACATCTGGAGTGAGTTGTTATGGTTTGACCATGGTTTTAAAGTAGGACAGAGTTATCTCTTCAGCTGGAAACCTGCTAAGCCGTGAGTGTTGACGCGTCGTGAGAGTCTCAACGAGTGATTGATATTTTAAAGGGGGGGGGGTGCTCAAACGATGGCCTGATTTCTCCCCATCCTCCCACTCTCATGTGCCAATGGTCTGTTCAAGCCAACGCAAGAGTTGACATGGTGTAAGTCCCACTTTGACGCTTGCCATCAAAGGAAAATCAGACTCAGAAGATGAAGATGCGATCACTGGGACAAGAAGTTTATTTGCCTGACGTTTCGGATTCTCACTCGAACCCATCATCAGAGACATTCGCAGATA